AACTTTAAATAATTTTTAATTATTTTCAATTTCGAAAAATCTCTCTAACAGCTGTCATCGTTTATAACAACTGTAAAAAAATATTCGCAGCATGATTGAAATATTGGGCAGAGTGTCTTCCAGCTTATATTTTACTATAAACTTCAATAATTCAAGTGAGTCTGGAATAATTAATTTATTTTCGTTGCCTGTAGCAGCAACAAAACTCTGCAGTCGAAGTTGTTCCAGCTTGAAATCTTCCTAGCCAATTTCAACAGATGGGTCGCGTCGTCTAGATTTCTTTTAGTGCTGTCTGAATTATCAAAGCATCACCTACTTTTTTAAAGGGACGTAATAAATAATATTGAACTTATATATGTAATAGAAGTCATTCTCGCTGATTAATTATTAGTAATAAATAATCCAAGCACAAAATAAAATACGGGAAATCCCCGCAAGTTAGTATAGACGGTGTTACCATTCCCTACAAAATATCATTCAAAGAAAAGGGATTCCCCGAATTCGTCACAGAATAAGTAATGAAAAATTCCGTGTTTTTTCAATCAGTACGAATTTATAGTTGCGTTAAAATATGCCCCTAAAAATTGCCGCCCGGGGCGAGCCGCCCCCTAAAAAGTGCCGCCCGGGGCGAGCCGCCCCTATTACACTACGCCACTGTACTGAACATTTCTTACCACATGCAAAGTTACACATCCTTTTGATCTTTAGTTCAGAATTACATTACTGGATGTAATACAAATGTATTTCCTAATTGATTACTCACATTCTGTTCAGAAGGCCTGGGAGTATTTGACATACCTTTCCTTAAAGATATAGTTGACAAATACGGGGGGCGTTTGTTCAACTTCATGACAACCAGCAATCTGTGACAGCCAAACATATCAAATTACAATACTAATGGAACTGATTGATGCATAAATCTCATTATTAGTCGAACTAATGCTTTGTTAATGCTTGTAATGATTGCTACTGTGAACTTTTCTTTCTAGTGACTCACAGAAACTGAATAATGACAAATTTATCACAGCATGCAATTTTGCGAAATCAAGAATAAACGAGCAAAGGGAAATGGTAAGTTCCCATCAAATTTGTATTTCTCGAAAGATTACCACTTCATTTTTTAACAATTATCACAATTGTTGTTAATGCGCCGATAGCAAGCCAGGTTTATTATTGTTATATTTTTTAAACCATAGTTTCCTCTGGCCAGGCCGAAGCTCCGATACATTTGGGAGGGCGCGCCAGTATTATTAACCAACGATCACTCCCCATACCGTGAGGTAAGTGGTCATTGGGTCATGTACCCTGAGCAAGCGCAGTGAGCCAAGAATGACAGCCTTCTGCATCTGTGCGGCTAAGATTTCTGCCTTAGTGCGGCAAGCCGGTATGATTTTAAGATTCGAGAGTAGAGAGGACATCATTCCACCAAGGACTCCAATAATCAGAACAACCATCTTGACAGAGTGATCTGGATAGAGTCTGCGGAGTTCGAAGAGAAAATCTCGATATTTTATCCGTTTTTCCTCCTCGCCAGGAGCTGAAAACTCCACGACAAATATCGTTTTGCTCTGGTGGTCGAGAAGGACTACATCAAGCTTATTAGCTTGTATGAGCCTGAGGGTGGGGAACGAATAGTTCCAATAAATTCGGCACTTCTCGTTCCCCACAACGGATTCAAATCCCCCGGAGCGTAGGGCAACACCGGTGTCTCGTCAATACCGTAAGAGTGCCGTAGATGGTAATATAGCACTCTTAGGGCCGCGTTATGTCGATGGATATAGGCCGAGACCGCATATGCTGGACATGCTGATAGCAAGTGCATTAGGGTCTCGGGCGCCTCGCGGCAGGCCCTGCACCTTGTGTCAGGAACCTCTATACCCATCACGCGACTGCGGTAGACTAAGGTGTTGAAGACACCATCCTGGCAAGCCATGATGAACCCTTCAGTTTCCGACTTCAGCCCACTCGACCTGAGAAAAGCGAACGTCAGGCGCTTTGATAAGCCAAGGTCTGCAATGTTATTGAAAAAGACCCCATGTATTGGCTTATCCTTGTGTTTCTGCAGAAGTAAGGTTATCTCTGCGGCTTTTATCTGAGCTTTTTGCTGACCCGGTTCCAACTCGGTGACAGAGTTGTGGTCATCTCGTTCGGTGACGAAAACTATACCGAGTTCATCAGCTGCTCGGGCAGCTGCCCTAAAGAGAAATGCTCCAATTCCTGCTCTCTCATGGTCACGGACCATGCAGAGAAGGGGATCCGAACTCCTGACGACTTTACAGGCTGTATCAAGTACCATTCTGTCATGTAGACACTCCAAACTCAAAAGTCCACGGCCTCCCTGTTGTCGGGGGAAGTACAACCGCGGAACGGACTATTTGGGATGCAAACTCCTATAAAGATGCATCATTTTTCGGGTCTACGTCGAGTTGATACAGCTCCTCCCGAGTCCATTTCACTACTCCAAACGAGTAGAGTAATATTGGAAAGGCAAGCATATTTGTTGCAGCAACTTTGTTATTCCCCGACAGTTCCGATGACCAGATCTGTCGAAGTTTGTGCCGATACTTGCCCCGGAGAGAGTTTTTCACTGCAGTTACCTCTTGTGAGTGGCGTTGTTCCACCCCGAGGTAAGTATACGTCTCTCCGGCATCCAGATGGTGTAGAATGCTTCCATCTACGAGCTGCACATTCTCTCCGTAGTCCCCGCTCGTCCTCTTTTGAGATGGACCATTGCACATTTGTCTATCCCGAATTTCATACCGATAGCATGCGTGTACTCTTCCACCACCCTCAAGGACTGATGGAGATCCTTGTCTCCAGAGGCATAAAGTTTAAGATCATCCATATAAAACAAATGGGTGACCTTGTGCCTCCGGTTTCCGGGGGTGCCACAGTTATACCCTCGAGTATTTCTGAGCGCAACGGATAATGGCAATAGTAAGATACAGAAGAGAAGGGGACTGAGGGAATCACCCTGAAATACACCCCTCCTGAAAGTGACCCACCCTGTTTGGACTCTTGCTTGACCAGATGTTACGGTAAAGCGAGTTCGCCAAAGTGGTATCAGTTGTTCAATGCATCTAACTATTTTTTCGGGTACCGCAAGGCATCTGAGCAAATGCAAGATGAGCTCATGCGAAATTGTATCAAATGCCTTATGGTAATCGATCCAGGCCATAGAGAGGTTACGCTTATATTGTATCGAGTCCTGCGTTACACATCTATCGATGAGCAGGTTCTCTTCACATCCAGCGACTCCTCTCTTCGACACTCTCTGCTCATATATCCGTTCGAACACTCGATCAACTGCGGTGAGTATTCGTGTGTATAAGATGGTTGTGAACAACTTATAACACGAATTCAAGCATGTTATCGGTCTGTAATTCTTAGGAATTCTCATTATTATTATTATTATTCATGCTATCGCCAAACAAAACCCTCGAAAGTTGAATGTGTGGGCTGGTATTTTTGTAAATTCTCTTCTGGATCAGTTTTTTTCTTCCTAGATCGAGGATATGTACCTGGATTAATTTCAAAATGCCATCGACCCAGCTTCTACTAATAGCATAGAGAATGATCCTGCATACCAACATTCTTTAAAGAGAAAATGATGATGCCTCTCCACAATACTTACAAGAGATTCACAATTATCTAAATGGCACGTCTCGAGGATCTTAGGATGAAGGGATGCAATTCACTAGACTCCTTGGTCACTCGACTTGAGTCCTATAGATTTTTGTGGAAACAGACTCATTGGAAGACCGGCAAGAACTGCCCTTCAATGTAAGTAACACCAATGGCGGACAATAGTGAATTATGAAATTTGATTTGGTTAGCTTAATGAACAATTTCTCTCTGAACGTCAGTAATCATCTACCTGGGAACATCCTTTCATTTTGTCCACATGATCCGAGATGCCTTAGTTTAATAAAATGTCTACTTCAGCAAAACGTTTTGATGCTATTCTTCTCTCCATTATTCTTCATTCATTTACTTTTCTAGATACTGGAAGGTTAAAAGTCAAAGATAACTTTGACTGAATTTCATTTAACAAACACGTCAAATTCTTGAATGAAAACTTTAATAGGGACTTTGCAACCTTCTGTACAATTAAAAATACATATAATCTATAAATTACTCCTAATACATACATAATACAACATGACATAAAATTTCAGTTCTATCACTTTGTGACAATCAAAATAAATATAATAATAAAATATCTTATATCAGTCATCTCAACATATTTATAAATATTATAAATGAAATAAAAATCGATATTGAAGGTATATAAGTTAAGGACTAATAACTATTGTTACAGAGATAGGCGGTCACAGAATTGATTAAGTAACTTTTACTTTTTTTAACAAGCCATGGATAGTATATACCTAATGTATGATCATTTAATACAATTATCCACCAGGCCCGTAAAACAAAACGGTATCAACCAAAAACACAATAATAACCAAATGTGGCTGGTGAGTGCTATCAGTTATTATAAGCTGAAGCATGAAAGAGGCTCAAATGGTTGAAGAATTATTCACAACAGAAACCAACGACAATTTTAAATATCCACGAGAATTTCATATTGTGTTTGTACAAACTTATATCTTCAAGCACGGGCTCTGTCATAAATATTTCGCCAAGAAGAGGTATTAGTTCAAAAATGAGACAAAACGACTCATAAGCATATAATTTTCCACTAACCGATTGTATAATTCTCTTCTAACTTTGGCAGTGAATTTATTGATGACACAAAGTGTTGACGTTGCAGCAAATGATAAGTTATACAACAACACTATTTTGAAGTTTCCGAGCCACTCTATACTGCCGAAATCGCCGAGGAGATCAAAGTTAGTAATACCTGTGAACAAATGAAGTATATATCCAATGTGTTTTGTACAAAACAATGGTAACTTACCAAGAATTTTTGATAATAATGGTAAAGCAGAGCTTATGATCAATAGTAACACACAATTACCAATAATAACAATAAACGGAGTACTCTTAGGCTTTGGTCGAACTTGCTTCATACATGGTATTGTATAAAGACCAACTGACGAAGTAAGTATCATATAAATAATGAGTACTATTTCCAGTGCAGCTCCAAATGGTCCTAGTTTCGATAAAGAGCTTACTCCTAGAGTAAACTGCTAGAAAACAAAGTTGCAACATTATTGGAGGACAGCCAGAATTCCTGCAGAAAATTTTGGCATTGGGATTTATTGGTCCCAAAAATTACATTTCAGTTAATAGAAAAAAACATAATCTATTGAAAAAGTACATGTCAATAAAGTTTGTCGATATAATATTCTGAAAAAATGTTTTGATAGAAATATATTTCTCAAATATACATTCGTGTATTTCGAAATGAGTTTGATAGATCCTCAAAAAATCAGTGGGTTACTCACATATCATATTCACGTTTTGGGGATAAGCTAAATGATTACATTAAAAATCCTCAAAATCAAGCCACCATTCATTATTCTCGGTCTTCAAAGTCTTCAAATATTCAAATCAAATCAAAATATGCTTTATTGTCCAAGAATAAATCTTATTGACAAAGCGTGTCACATAGAATGGATAGTGAGTATAAACATGAAACCTAAATATATAAGTAATATACCGAGTCTGAGGTATCTTCTCGTCCAGCGACCCGAAATCGGGTCCGCGAAGTGGCCACACCCCGCGAAACTGAAAATGACGATAATATGGACACCAACCAAAGCATGTCCATAGACAGTGTGTCAGAAAACTCTGGGCACACAGTAAAGACGGTTCAGGGCCCGAAACCGGGTTCCCCCGTTTCTCTAAAACAAAACACGCATCCGACAGTCTCAAAGTCTAGAATCCCACCGATTGTCGTTCGTCAGAAGGCCAAATGGGTATCCCTGATGAAGCTGACAGCCCAAGAAAACATCAAGTTCTCCAAAGCCGTCAACTTGCATGACGGCATCAAGGTCCAACCTGAGACTCCTGACGACCATCGTCGGTTCAGACTCTTGGTGAAGGAGAAAATCCCTCACCATACTTATTCACTACCCAAAGAACGGCAAATTCGTGCCGTTTTCAGGGGCGTGCCAGAGCATCTGGCGACTGAGCCAGAGGCTTTAACCTCGCATCAGTTACGTGCATGAAGCGCTTTAACAAGCCTTTGCTAATGGTTTTTGTTCTACTGAGCAGGGACCAGATGTCAAGGACCTCCTGAGCGTGAAACTTCAGGTTGAGTCCCCACACTCGAAAACTTCGGTGGGTCATTGCCACCGATGCCGACGGTTCGGCCACTGCCCACGCAACTGCCTGGCAGTACCCATTTGCGTGAAGTGCGCCGGCAGGCATCTAAGCAGTGCCTGCAAGAAGGTAAGGACTGACCCCCCGAAATGCAATAATTGCAAGGGGGGCCACACCGCCAACTACCGTGGCTGCTCGGCGTACCCGAAGGTACAGCGTTAAGAGCAATCTTCCGCCAGGAAATCAGCCCCTTCAGGAAGACCTGCGGGGTCTGGACGCGTCCAGGAGGGGGTCAGCATTGCTGAAGCTGCATCCAAGAGTGCCAGCAGTACTGCAAGGCCCACCCCTTCTCAACCTGAACCCTCACCTAAGGCGCAGGGGGTTTCAGACATCTGTGCCTCACTGGACCAGATGAAAAAATTATTTGTACAATGGGGAATGTTCCTCAGTTTGGGTTATTACAGCAAATGCAAGTTTGAACAAAATAAAGTTGAGTTTAATTCATGAATTTCTCAAATTCACTTTGAAAAGTATTCAAATTGATGTTTCAAATGTTGGGTTTTAATTTTCAAAGGGATTTGTGTCTAATTCACATATTGGCAACAATTCACATATTGGCCTATATGAAGTTGAAATAATTTATACGTACCTAGATATTCTACTTTAAAAAAAGAAAATTATCTTTGATAATCAAAAATTATGGCAGAATATAAATTACAGTTCAATACCACCTCCACAAGCCACATAAACAACAGTTGTTTTGTTATTTATTTATTTAGATGAAGATAGGTTAGGTGCACAAAATGTCATATGTCACAGAATATCTCGGAACAAAAGTAAACAGAACAGCACGTCTCTGAAATATGTCATATTTGTTTGTCTCATACAGGTAACAGATTCATTGTCCTTTATTACCTATGATCAGAGATCTAGGCAACCAACGTTATCTAGATCTCTGAATCTAGGCAACCAACGTTGCCTAGACCTCTGAAGATATTCTTTTGGAATGGTAATAGCATTAGTTTCAAAAGACAATATTTCGAAAATTTTTAATAGAACACAACATCGATGTGGCTCTTGTCCAAGTGACAAATCTAAGAAACGAATCCATTGTCATTCCAAACTACAGATTCTTTCACAGAGAACGTGTTGGACGTGCTGGTGGGAGAGATGGCATCTTTGCCAAGCGATCCCTTCAGTGTCTCCAATACAGCATTGACAGTGCCCGATTACACGGAACTGAGGCCGCGGGTGTCGAAATTTGACTGAGTAGGGATTGTCAAGAATAATCTCGGTTTACAACTCTCCAAACAATTTTTTACTCCCAGAATCACTGAATGAACTGCTGATGGGAAACAACATTCCGAAAATTGCTGCTAGTGACTTCAACGCTAAGTTATGAAGCAGAGCCACAAAATCGAAACGGCCAAGCGCTCTATTCGTCTGTCGACAGGCATGAATATCTAGTGCTGGGTCCTGAGTAGCCTACGTACCATCGTGGGCAGACTAGGCCTGATATTGCAGTCCTCCGAATCAAGTGACTATGATTTGTAACATGTTCTCTCACTTTTCCGGGTACTTTTTGCCAAATATCTGGTATTTTAGTATATGTATATTCCATAATATGTCAATTGGACCGACATAAATATTTCCCTACAGGATTGATTGTACTTCAAATAAACAATAGAGCATCAGTAGTGCTAAACTGAACCACAAATGCAATTCTGGACACAAATGTCCTGTGAACGAAGACGACATTTATGGGATCAACAAAAGACTCAATCCACGATTATCAAAGATGAAGGAGGCTCCCCAAGGCGGTCAGTTGCAAATTAGCACCACTGATGAGACCTATGGTGTGTCGAAACAGTGATTTCTAGTGTTGGATCATGAATTTGGATCTGGACTTTGGTTTCAATTAATTGCAATGCAGTGAAAGACAGAACGACTTTTCTTCGACGATCAAAGCAAATGAAAATTATGATTTCTTAATCTCAAATATTGATATTGATGATAAATCTGGGTGAGTGGCAGGGGATCACACTCTCTCTCTTATGGGTGTTTGACAGTCCTCCGGTGCAGACCACACGGCACCCACCCAGTAAAGTTATCGGTCAACTACCCAATCCCGCGCCTGCGGGTAACAGGCGTTGGCCGGTTTCAAGCTAGATGTGTGGGAGAGGTGTCTCGCAAGAGGACCCCGACCGGCCACTTCCGGGACCATATTCCCAATTGATTTGGCATGGTTGGCGGGGGCAGGTGTGCGACGCGAGCACTCTCTGGCGAAAGAAGAGCTCAATTAACGTGTACGAACGTTCGGTCGAACGCTGCCGATGGTCCTGTCTCTTGGTTAGCCACACTAAGTGGATGTAAGGAGGCAACTCCGGGTTCGGTGAGCGGGAAGAAGCCCTGCGAAATCCTGTTGGGGGCCTAACCGGCCCCCCAGGCCCCCCCGGTGCGGTCGTAACAATGACCAAGCTAAATTCTTAGAGCATATGTATGACGTACTTCCTATAGTTAAAAAAGTAGTCTCCAAGAACACAAATAGAATTGAATGGTTCAACGAGGATATTAGGAAAATTCGAAAGGAACTCACATCTCTTAATGATTTGTATGTTGCTTTCAGAGCTGATGATCTTGCGTTAAAAATATAAAATCTCAGGCATAAGTACAGACAGGCTATAAATAAGGCAAAACTCCATGCAAATAACGAGTTCATAAAAAATTCGGATGATATTGCAAAATCCTCTTGGAAAGTAATCAATAAAGGTAGATTGAAAAACTCACAGGAAGAAAACATAAATATTAGTTCAAATGAACTCAATAATTTGTTCACTGAAATAGCAAGTAATATTGTTAATAATTTAAATGTACCTGTGATCACATATAAACAGTACTTAAAGATAATAAATAGACACAATCCTAACCTCAGTTTTTCCTTTAGAGAGGTAACATTCGTAGAAGTAAGAGATGCTATAAACAAGTTGAAACCGAAACACAGTAGAGATATATATGAAATCGGTATAACTCTCATCAAAGAACTCAAAAATGTGTTATTCATTCAACTTACAAAACTTTACAATGAATGCATAAGAAAAGGGGTATACCCAACAATATTCAAACTTGTAAAAGTGATTCCGTTATTTAAGAAAGGAGATAAAGAGAACGCCCAGAATTATAGACCCATTGCATTAATTCCTGTATTTTCTAAAATATTCGAACTACTATTAAAGAAACAACTACACACTTTTTTAGTAAATAACAACTTATTAATAAATGAACAATTTGGATTTAGACAAGGTAAATCCACAATACTAGCACTCAATCAGTTATGTGAATATATAATCGAGGGCTTTGAAAATGACCAGATCGTAGGATCTACCTTCTGCGACTTATCCAAGGCATTTGATTGTGTATCACGTGAAACATTGTTAGGTAAACTCGATTACTATGGTCTTGATCATACAAGCTTAAATTTAATATCAAGTTACTTAGAAAGTCATAGACATATCACATTACACTGTGGTAGTTACTCAAAGGAGAAAGTAAACAGGCATGGAGTACCACAAGGTTCCGTATTGGGACCGTTACTATTCTTAATATATATAAATGACATAAAAATATCTTTGCCACATACCTCTTTAGTACTCTATGCTGATGATACCACTTTAACAAATAGTAATGATACCATGGCCAATTTAAAAGCCGATATGACCAAAGCAATGTCTGATACAATAGATTGGTTTATTGCTGAAAAACTTAATTGAAATATTAGTAAGACTGACAAGGTGATATTTTCCTTGAAAAAATATGACATACCAGAAAATCCAGACTCAGTAAAATTTCTGGGGGTACTCTTAGATCCCACTCTGAAATTTGATTGCCATGTTAACCACATAGCAAAAAAAGTAGGAAAAAACATTTATTTTAAAAAAAATCTCAGACCAGTTGTGGAACAGAGTATCTGTTTAATGGCATTCCATGCTCTTATACAGTCTGTATGTATTTATGCCATATTAGTATGGCGACATTCTCCTCATGCTTCCAGAGTATTTGGCCTTCAGCGGAGAGCAGTGCGTGTTCTTACTAATTTAGAGTATTGTGCTGAAGTTAGAGATAAATTCATAGAATTGAAAATACTTACCATTCCATCGAGATATATATATCAATGTATATTATATGTCCAAGACAATCTCAATCGGTATAAATCTCAGAGCAGCATACATAACCATAATACAAGAAAAAAAGAAGACATAAGAATAATGAGTCTGAGGCTACAAAAATCTATAAATGCTACATTATACTATGCTCCAGAATTTTTTAATAAATTACCAGTACATATTAAAAATCTGGAGAGGAATAAACTAAAAATAGTTTTAAAAATTATTTGACCAGTAAGGCTTTTTATAATTTTGACGAGTATCTCAACAGTACCATCATTATTGATATGGATTGACACTTGTACTTGTATTTTAGATAACAAAAGATTTTTAACGTGTAAATTATATAAGTATGTTTCATACATTGTAATTTTAGTTTATTTTATTTATATTCATTTTGACTTGTGTAAAACTTTATGTTAAACAGCACCAATAAACTATTCTATTCTATTCTATATTCTATTCTATTCAAAGTTTGGCTTTGCAACTGACCGCCTTGGAGAGCCTCGTATATCTTTGATATTCGTGGATTGAGATGGTATCTCTGTTAGGTGACATGTCTTCACTGTTTACTAATCATAAAGTAGTTGTATATTTAAAAATTTTGACATAAAAACATTTTTATTCACAAATGAAACGAATAACTAGATAATGAGGTTCAATCAAGATGAATGAATTCCACCTGATGAATTCCTACCATGTTATTAGCATAGAATTTGTATTTTATATAGCCAACTAAAATTTTTATGACTCACCTTCGAACTGATGGGTAGGGCTTTCATTCCAATGAGCAAAGACAGCGTGTTTTGAAGGACTAGAAGAACTGCTAATATAGTAACACCAAGAAGGAGTAGCATTGCTACAGGGTATATCACATTTCTCCTCAGAGAAGAAGTATGTCTTTGCTTATCTGAAAACAAATCTGATATTTTATTTTATATTAAATTTAAGTTTTCCTAGAACATAATAAAACATCATAAAATCAATGGAATTCAATCGAAATGTACTCTACTTTATACTTTGTGATCATCAAAGTGCAAATCAAAATGAGGGGCTTACACTCGTACGGTATGTTGGAGAACACACTCATTTCAGATATATTAGATCAAGCCAAAGTAGACCATACCACTTCCTTTGAAGTTTCAACAGCTTTCGATGTGTGCCTAAATCAGAGCTACCTACAGTTCAACAACAAATTTTATAAACAGGATTCAGGTTTACCAATGGGCTCACCCCTTAGTCCACTTTTAGCAGACTTATTCATGAACAGCTTGAAGACCACTATAATAAATTCCGACCTGGGTAAAAACATATTCGTTTTTGGTATGTATGTAGAAGATATTCTCGCCTGTTTCAGAGGTACTACACGAAAGCTGAACCAATTTATGACATTCATGAATATTCTCGATAGCAACATTCAGTTCACACTCGAAACAGAGATAGAGAAACAGATAAATTTCTTAAACCTGACCATTACACAGTATCAGAATAAATTTGAATTTAATGTTTTCAGAAAACCTAGTTATACAGACATCACCATCCCAAGCGATTGTGTCCATCCATATAGTCATAAATAAGGAGCTTACAATTCAATGTTGCACAGAGCATTCTCACTAACTAGCTAGGGAAATTGATATAATTACACATACAGGGCTTTTCATGATGAGCGTTAATTAGCCGTTTCTGGCAAACTATTCAAAGGATCAACCTGAAAATTCCACAGTATGCATAAGTCAATATGACCTACACGCCTAAAATATTTGAGACGAAGCGGCGTTGTCGCTTCTACTATAAAGTAGCGGCTTCTTTGATTTTTCAAATGGAACACCCCGTATATAATATTGTAATGAATCTGAAGCCGGCCCTGACCGATGTCCCAGTCAGCAAACGCATGACGTATCGCGAAACAGCGCGAAAGGTCCGGATGGGTCCCGAAATCCGCAGAGAGATCCGGAACGTTCGTTGACGATATAAAAAGGTCGCTCTCCGTCCCGAGGAGTAGTCTGTACTTAGAAAGTGAATCGTGCGGTTAAGGAAAGGAATCTAATCGTGAAGATAAATTAAGCGTTAGTTACTAAGTGTTGTACATAAATTAGTTGTGATAGTGAAATATTGTTAAAAATAAATTTGATTACGACAGTTAATTATTTAATTCGTTACAATTGGTGATCAGAAGTGGATTTTCAAAATAAATTTGTGAGCGCTTGGTGGACAATTTTTGTATCACAGTGAAATTGACTATAAAACTTTCGCACTTTCGCGCAGATAGACTGGTGATTCATTGCCGGAGATGTTTTTAAACGGTCCGGAAGAAATAATTCATTCGATAAAATTCATCCCAATCGATAATAAGGATATTGCAAGATCGCTCCACAGCAGAATTACCCAATCACAATATCACAACAAGGCACGGCAGGTTTATATCCGTCAAATGACGTAATTTTATATTCGAAAACCAGAATTTGCCTGAAATCAAATCTTCCGAACGTTATCGTTCAGTTTCACTCACGAATGCCCTAGAGCGGACGGACGAAAGAAAAAAACGTTCCTTTTTTTTCTTTCAAAAAAACTTATCGAGTCGGCTGGAACTATATATCGGGTGTTTCACAAATAGAGTTGCCCTAATTTAATAATTAGCGTTCAACTATTCACAACTAATCGTAACAATATACTCATAATGGAAATCATATGTGGAAAAACATCAACTGATCTACATCGGTGAGAAGTTCAAGTTGCTGTTTCGTTTTGGATAACATAGCATCCCATGTATAGCCAGGCAGAGTGAAATAATGGGCAGGATCCAAACCGTGAGTTTTATGACAACTTGAGTGGAAATGCTCGAAAACATAGCCAGAAGCATAACATCCGTCTTCAAATACAGATCCGTATATTTTCCCAATGTGTTTTAATTAAAAGTAGCCCATATCAGCTTGGCGCGTAAGTAAGATCTCCTAGGACACGGTTTTTCCTCCAATTTGTTGTAAAAAGTTTCGATAGGGGGTGAACAATCTTCATTGAATTTTTTGAAAGAATCGATATAGTCATACGGCATTACACCCTTTTTTTGTCAAAATCTACTCTTCATCATTCGAGAGGTTGGAGAACTGTGATATGAGATTTGGAAAATCAGATAGATATGATACTAACGTATCCAGCGAAAAACTCATGAATCTGAATGAGTTGAAAAATCTGAAGTGAATCTTGCTACCAGAAATATTTTTAGTGAAGGAGGTATACTTTTCCTTTGTTATCGGCCAAACGGCGACACTTCCATCCAAAGCAATATTTTCTATAACAGAATGTGCATCATACCCTGATAAGTTACGAAACACGATGGGAATCGTTTGATCATCTTGATAGTTTATAATGCACTCATTGTGTGATGGTCCGCGATTAATTATTTTTAGGTATTAGACGATTATTACGGTCGCATACTATTTTGTCTCATATATTGAATGGTTTGTCACATATATGACAATGAGTTGCTGCCTGAAAAAATGTTTCCGGGCTGGCTGATATATCTACATCAAATGGACACAAAAAACACAGTTGCAACATCTTCAACAAACTGACCTATCTCGTCGGCAAACCATTTCATACAATTTTCACCACGAAATGATCGATAAAATGATAGTGTATCATCATAAGAGCGTTTCACATAATATCCAATAGATGCCGGAATGTGTAAAAAATTTCAAAAATAAAATTACATCGCCTTTCGTCATATATGCCGAGTGTATTAGTATCTGTACAGGATGACAATAAATATCAACGACACATTCCGGCATCTATTGGATATTATGTGAAACGCTTCACCTATGGGGGGCCATAGGTACTTCTGGTAGGCATTCCTTTGTATTCGAGCTATCTTCAAGGTTTCATATAACATAGCTTGCGTGGAAAAACAGTGAAAACACCTATGGCAAAAATATTTTTTTCCATTATGGTTGCCGAGTTGATTACTCACCAAACTAGATAGATCTTTCATCCAAACAAAGTATTTTCTGGTTGGTGACGTAACATCATAGACATTTATTGAATCCTCACATCTTTCATCGTGATACATGTCTTGAATGATGAGCAGATTCACATGTTTGCTTTTATTTTTTGCTATGCTCAATCTTGGCGGTATTACAGTATACTAGGATTTAAAAAATTTCAACGTGTAAACATTGACTGAGAGATCATTCTGCTCTTCGAAACTATTTATCTGAATAATTGTCATCGGAAAGTGAATACCTTACAACTTCAGAACTTTTGAATAGTCAGGATAAGATAGGATTTGATCTGAATGTTGTCCATGGGGAACTGGATACAACGCCGAAACAATGGCCCAAGCGAAGCAGGCATTATCATGATTTTTATTTCGGTTTGAGAAGGCAGTGCAATGTATGATGAACCTCTCTGCGGCACAAATTTGTTTACGGTAACCCCCAAATTCACTACTGCTTTCAACGTCTAACCTCTGTCACGTTCCTGAAACTCTTCCAACTTTATCATGATTGGCTCCATAACATATTCCTCAAACCACATATTCATATCAGTGCTACTATGGATGGATGCGTTAGATATTGTGAAATACTTATATTCGTTGAAGATTCGATCGCCATTGACAACCTCAAATTCTCCACCGAATGTCATATTAACCTTCGAAAATGCATCCTTTTTCAATGCATTTCGAATTCGTCTCACAAAAAGGGTCTTACAGTCGATCAAAAATGAGGTAGGGTTCTTATGCTTGAGATTACTAATCACTTCAGTCCGGATACGCGAATTGAATGCCGATTCTGAATCATCCCAATGTACTCGATTAGAGGCTGTCTCTTTCTGGCTAATCAGGCCTGCTCCTTTCTGGTGATTACCGGACGACTATAAACTGATAGACCTTTCTCGCGAAAAATAGACTTGTGAAAATAAATAAGTGTTTCGGACTCCATCAAATAAGTGGGCATATTCAGTTTTGAGTAAAATAGACAGTAAGAGTTGAAATGTGTTCAAGAAAAGTGCGCCTAATGGACTTGAAAGTCGCCGAATTGAAGCAAGAATTGGAGGAGAGAGAACTAGATTATTCCGAAATAAAATCAGTACTCCAGAAGAGACTATCGGACAACTTGATTAAATCAGGAGAAGATCCCGAAGCATATTTATTCGAAGTTTCTGGGGGTGATTGGAGTTCAATAATGAGCAAACTTGATGGACTTCAACAAAATTCGGTAAGTCTGGAGGAGAAGCTTCTAGAAAATTCGAAGAGTTTGAAAGATAAACTTCAACAAAATTCGAAGTGCCTGGAGGAGAAGCTTCTGGAAAATTCGAAAAGTTTGGAAGATAAATTCTAGAGAATTCGAATAGCTTAAAGGAAGAACTTCTTGAGAATGCAGAAGGCTTGAAGAAAGAGCTTTGTAGTGTGGCGAGCCTACTCGAAGAATGGATAGGAACCATTGAGACAGAGATAGATAAAATCAGGAAGGAAATGAACACAGAAGTAGAAGAAATCAAAGGCGGAGTTCAGGCAAAAATAAGCTAGATAAAGAAAACAATTAGCAAGTTGCAAAACAAAATTGTTAATTCTGCCCATCCACAGAAACGGTTACTGAAAACTCAATTCCGGAACTGAAAGATGTCAAACTCAGTTCTGAACCAGGAGCTCTCCATGAAGCCGCCCCAGTTCGACGGAAAAACTCCTTGGGCAAATTACCGCCGGCAATTTGAAGCTGCGGCCAGAGCGAATGGATGGAATGCCAGGAGAAAAGGCGGTAGCATTAACATTGGCGTTGCGTGGAGAAGCAACGAATATCCTGCAAACCATCACTGCCCAGGAACAGGAAGACTATGACCAACTTGTGAAGCATCTTGAACTGCGGTATGGACAGGCCCACCTAGAGCACGTTTACCATTCACAGCTGAAGAACCGCTGCCAGAAATCAGGAGAATCCCTATAGGAGTTTGAAGCCGACATAGCTCGATTGGTCCGTCTGGCATATCCTGCTACACCCGAAAATGTAATGGAGCGGTTAGCAGTTCAGGCATTCTTGGATGGATTTCGCGACCAAGAAACGAGGCAGGCCTTGCCGCTGGCTCATCCTAAACATCTCGTGGATGCACTGGCAAGCGCTCTGGAGTTTGAGGCTGCAAAACAATCCTGCAAGAGTCAGAGCAAAGTTCGAGCTATCGAGCTAAAATTGGACATGTGCGTAGCAAATGTCCAGCTTTCAAAGAATCGACACCAAATCAGGAAAACTAGAAGGGGTCGATGAGAAGGGGCAATCGTCGACCTGTACCCAGCAAACCCCCGTAAAAAACGCATATGTTGCCGTTCTCCAACGACAAGACAAAGGTGTTTTCGTAGACGGCCTCATCAACAACGAGCCTTGCACCATGCTGCTAGTCTGGGAAATAGTATATGAATTTGTTGACAAAGTGATAATGAATCATAATATGATATTATATACGGGGTGTTCCATTTGAAAAATCAAAGATGCCGCTACTTTATAGTAGAAGCAACAAAGCCGCTTCGTCTGAAATATTTTAGGCGTGTAGGTCATATTGATTTATGCATACTGTGATATTTTCAGGTTGATCCGTTAAATAGTTTGTCAGAAACGGCTAATTAACGCTCATCATGAAAAGCCCTGTATAGGTTCTGAACCAGCACTGGGGGTACCAAAATCATTGGTATGAAACCAGATTAGGACATGGACCAATAAGAAGCACACAGAACCTGTACAAACTAGTACAGGGAACGAGACTGAAGGAATGGGTGTCATGAGAAGATGGGAGAATAAACGCAATAAGCTAAAGAGGCTGCAGTGTTTCCTGGAGACTTGGACTAAATGGACAAGTCAGACAGCTCCCAAGGTATTAAAAAAAAAACAAGGAAAAAGAGTACCCCACGGTTAAGAAGGTTAAACTTAATCGGGTTAAAAGGCTTCTGCTGTAGGAATTTCATTCACAAATCTCTATGGATGATCATTTTTGGGGCAATATCTATCAGAGAAAACAACCTTTTAATTTTGGATTGAAATTTACACAAGGGAATAGAAAAGACTAGTTTTTTTAAATAAATATTTCATGTTGGTAGTAGCATAAATTGAAAAGATCACAAACAAGACTCACCAAGTAATTTCCGTTGTTTTTCAATTTCAGTCAACCTTTTCCCTAGTCTTGATTGGAGCTCTCCATTTCTAAACAGACTATCAGGTAATTTGTAATCATCATTTTGTATTGGCTCATCATTCTTGCCTATCATTGATGCTGGATTCCCATATGATTTGCCCGTTTTCTGAGCATGTTTCAGTCTTCTACGCAAAAATTCTTCCTCCAAGGCACATGCATCGTATTCCTCATTTATATCTCTCAGGAATTGAGGTTTTATTAGGAACTGACCGACTACGTCAAATAAGCGAACAAAACCTATAGGTGTACATACTGAAAAAGAAATTTTATCAAAAAATACCAACTCTCTAAACTATCTATGCCAGGAAAGGAAATTTTTGAAATTGATTTGTGGTAACTCGTGTTACATATCCATGTAACAGATTCCAAATATCCGTTTCGAATAACTTTAAAATATTCCTTACCCAAAAGTATCAGTACTCCAAGAAATGATATGCATGAATAAAGGAATGGCAAATAATATGTCCACAGATCTAAAAAATGTATCAGTAGCATGAAATCACAAAACAAATAAATAACTTACTTAATATTGTTTGTATACTGGAGTTGTCTTTATCAATGAGTGCGGAAATAACATAGGTTAGCCCAAGAACAATCACTCCCAACAGAGCTAGGACAGTGGAAGTTTCATATACTCTTGACAGTATGCCTTTTCGATGGCCAAAAAATCCTTCAGATTCTGTAAACAGGTAGGTAAAAGGGAGGAAAATGAACAGGGATAAATTGGAAAAAAGAAACACATAGTTCCATAAACCTGAAAGAAGAATGAAACATTGAAGTGAGGTTTGCCGTAGAAAACAGTTCAGCAATCAGAATAATATCACTCCCACTGGAAGGTTTGAATTTCAAATATTTTATTGGTCAACAAAATTGTTATTGTTCCACTTTTTGTTAAACTTTTCCTTCAAATATTTGTTATACTTATTTTAATATTAACATATGTCACAAAAAGGATTTGAAGCTTTATAACTTCTATTTATTATATGCGAGCGCTTTCGATAGCTGACTGCGTCAACACAAGCGAGACATATGGGGAACCACCTATTGGTGTGACGCCCAAGTCAACTTTCCAAGTTTTTATGTCAGTGTTGGTGGTTTTATCAATTAACCGACAACTGCGGTAGCAGAAATTTGGGAAGCTAACCTGAAATGCCATCGGAAAACGAATCCACATGTTTCTAGAAATGATATGATATGCGGCTACTCATAACTATTGTACACGTCATGGTGATATGTTGAGAATACCCTCTCACAAAACAACCAAATTTAAAAATTCTCCACTATATAACTCGATCACACTGTACAATAAACTACCAAATGCTATTAAGGAGTCTAAATCGTATGAAATATTTAAGAATAACACTAAAAAATTCTTAATAGAAAAGTGTTTCTATAGCGTACAGGATTATTTAGGACAAAAATTCTAATTTTAAGATTCTTATTATTAATTTATACCTTCACTAACTGTGATACACATATGCTGTTGTGATATTTGTTTTAGTTTTTTTATTTATATATGACAAATCATGATTTTAATTGTTTTTATATTATATAGTACTTCTATTGACTTACCATATGTACATTAAGTGCCGAAATGGCTAATAAATATTATTATTTTTATTGAGAAAGGTTAATGCAGTCAAGCTGCTGGAAAATAATTTTAATGTCTTCCCCCCCCTTTTATTTTTTGAACGAGTCAACTCAAAACATGAAATTTGGGATGATGAAACTAATGCATGAATACATTATTTTGAAGTGAAATTGACAGATGAAACTTTCAAGATGGCGACTGGGCGCCATCCGGGAAAAATTAAATGGAAAGGGGGTCTTGTGACACATCATTTTGAAGCTCCTGACGAATATTTCACAAACCTCAAACCTATAATATGAAGTCAATATCTTCACCTAATACAAAATGGCGGAACATTCAATAATCAACCAGTAAAGAACACAGCTGTACAACTGCTCTCTTGAAAATAACTAATGATATTTTTTAAGCTGCTGACAAAGGTAACACGACTGCTTTAATACTCATAGACTTCTCCAAGGCTTTTCATAACATTAGTTATCCAAATTTATTTGCAATTTTGAACTTCATCGGGTTCTCTGAACCTGCTATAAATTTAATTGAAAGCTATTTTAAAGATCGTTCTCAGTTTGTAGAAACTTCAACGGAAAAATCAAGCGGTGAATTTATTAAATTTGGATTGCCTCAGGGATCTATACTTGGACCCTTATTATTTTGCGTATACACTTGTGATCTAGTTTCTGTTTTTAGACATTGTAATTCACATATGTATGCGGATGACACACAACTATATCTAGCATTTAACCCTAATGACGTTGCTACTGCTAATTAAAAATTGAATGAAGATCTAGCTCGTTTCATTTCAGCATCTGAAGCTCATAACTTCAAAATCAATTCAAACAAACCTAATCTGCTTGTTTTTGGTACTAATCGTAGCTTGGTGGAAAGCTAGTTTGTAGCCTCATTTGTCTATTTTTTTAAATTATTTTTATAGATTGAATATTTATTGTATTTATACAGGCTGATTCACGGTGGATGGCACATTAGACGTTTCTGGTGAACCAGACAACGGATCACTTTGAAAATTTAATGGAGGGCATATTCGGACATTCTCTAGCCAACTAAAATATTTTCGACAATGCGGTGTTGCCGCTTCTATTAGAAAGCAGTAGCAACTTTGATTTTTCAAATG